CTGTCAATGTTCATTAAAATAAGCCCTCCCCTGAAAATAAGCCCTCTGGTGTTTTTCTTTCCCCAAAAAATAATAAGACAGTGTCTTATTATCGGACAAACACGGGTAGAATAATGAAATTGGAAGGGGCCTATAAGGCCATCGAGTCCAAATTCCTGATCAATGCAGGAATACAAATCAAAGGATATATGTCAGGTGGTTGTCTAAATTTTTCCTGAATGCCTGCAGTGTCGGAGCATTCACCACCTCTTGAGCTATAGGGTTTTTTAATCTGTGAGAAATCGCTAGGTTATTAAACACAACTTCAGAGAACTTTTTTTTAAACTTTTTTCAAAGTGTTCTGGACTATATTACAATGTTGTTCAAATATTGGTTGGAATTCTGTTGCACTTTTGTGTCCATGAGGCTGGTGATGTCATCAGCCATAGTCTTTTATCTTTAAAGGTTTCCTGTCCCCCTTCCTACTCAGTTTCTGAGGCTCCCTAAGGCTCATTTTCAATCTGGGGAAGCCTTTGGGGTCCTTGGGACAGCAAGGGGAAAGCCTTTAATGTCTGAAAAATGCTGGTTTTGAACCTCATGGTAGAACACCCAGTGATGATTTTCTGACATTAAAGCACCCTTCCCCCTTCATCCCAAGGGATCCAAAAGCTTTTTCCAACAGAATTATGGCCAGTAAAGGACATGGTAGTATTTCCTCATTTGAAACTGTTGGCTTTTTGCAGTGCAAGAATGTTGAGAAAAGTTATCCTAAAATTAGAATGAGAGGATAATAATTACATTAGAAATGAAATGTTGAAAGAGTGAAAGATTCTTAGAACAGATACCTACAGTATTGTTTGGGTTAATGTGTTTTGAAAATATTTTGCCTTGGCTATAGTAACTACTTTTTATTTATTTTCATTTTCATATTTTGAATGCCATTGAATAAATGCACAAGTAAAAATCCTCCTTTTGAATCTTTAATAGCTTTGGTAATTTTTGTGGATATCTGGTACTGTAACTTAATTCCTGATGTAACTTGTCACAAAGTAAGTTTTAATCATAACACCTCTCTGTTAGAATCTGCGGAGATCTTTATAGTGCACATTAGGTCTTAAGATATGGGTTTTTGTAGACGTGGAATGGGAAGAATGCGCCCGTATCCAGATGCAAGAGGCGGAAGAGGAGCTCATGGAGGACCACTTTTCCCACATATTCCACCCATAAGAGGAATGGCAAGAATGCCTTTTCTGCCGCCGCCGCCTCCTCCTCTCCCTCCTCCTCCTCCACGGTTAGTATTGAGAATGCCAATGCAGGTACAGTATATCTTAAAATAGCAACTATATAGTTTGAGTCAGAACAGAACCTATTTTCTGCAAGGTTGTTGTTTTCTTAAATCTTTAATATTGTTATAGTATTAATTGCAGACTTTGGACTCAAACTATCTTAAGTCCCTTTTTGGGATCCCCCTCTCCCTCCTCCTCCTCCACGGTTAGTATTGAGAATGCCAATGCAGGTACAGTATATCTTAAAATAGCAACTATATAGTTTGAGTCAGAACAGAACCTATTTTCTGCAAGGTTGTTGTTTTCTTAAATCTTTAATATTGTTATAGTATTAATTGCAGACTTTGGACTCAAACTATCTTAAGTCCCTTTTTGGGAGGAGCAAGACAGGGTATTGATAAAATTAAACAATTACATAATGATTTCTGTGGAATTAATAGGGCCAGATAGGAATTGATGTTGAAAAGGTGATTCGAGTATATAAACCACATGGATGTAATTGTGCTTCTGTTTTTCAGAAATATGTATTATTGTCATTTCGAAAGATAATTATTTTTGGAAAACATTAGTCTAATTGGACAAATGCTGTGTCCCAAACTTGCCATGCGAAAAATAAATAAATGACCAAGGACAAATATTGTTGTTTTGTTTGCCAAAATTTGCAGAAGTGGTTTTGTGAAAGTGTCACAAAAGTTATGGAGAGTTAGGGAGGCACAATCCTTTTTCTGGGGATTTTCCACTGAGGAGGCAGCCCTGCAGTTTGTATTTTTTGGATGGTAAATTACGCAAACAGCCTTGTTCAGTTGAGGTTCAGAGACAAGAGTGCCATATAGGAAAATTTGGGAGTAGTAAACTTTGTCTAAGGTAAATCTTGAACAGATAATGACATTCAAGAACCATGACCCAGGGGGTCATATTTGCACATCAGGTTAAACTAGCTTTTCCCAACCTTTTGCCTTTCATATGCTTCTGAACTATAATTTGTAGAATTCCTCACCATTAGTGGAGTTGACCACTGCTGGTGGAGATTGAACCAGGTGGAAAGGACACCAAATTGGGGAGAGCTGTGCCAAAGTCACAGTTTAGCTCAGGAATGGGCAAAAAACTCACCAGATTATGTTGAACTAAAATTTACATCGGCTTCACCAGCATAGGTTTTGGTCAGGAATTTTAGTAGCTGCAGTGTAGCAACACCTCAGAGACTGCCCTGTTCTGACAAAGTCTTAGCAAGTCTTGAGCTCTTATGTTTCCTTCACGTCACATAGCCAGGAGTGGGTAACCACAGTTTTATGGTTCAGAGGACACAGCAAAATATAGTTAAGTGAAAGTGGAAATGAAATATTTATTTCTCCCAATTCTGTGTGTGTTCTAATAGTGATAGGACACTAACCTGAACAAAAGGAGTATAACTGAAGACCTCCAACTGAGTGCTTTGTGTTTTTTTTTTTTATTTATTTCTCCCAATTGTGATAGGATACTAACCTGAACAAAAGGAGTATCACTGAAGACCTCCAACTGAGTGTTTTGTGTTTTTTTTGGGGGGGTAGGGGGCAATCATTAAAACATTTTTTCTGAGATCTCTGTGTGGGATGCTGTGTTTTCCAATTTGTAAAACATCATAACTTCCCCCAGATCTCACTTAGGAAAGGATTTCTCACATGTGTGCACACTCACCCACAAAATGCATGCTATTCTATTCCTACAATAAAACTGGGTACATTCCTGTTTTCAGTTAACAGAATCTCAAGAGGTTTTTTTCCACTGCTATTGAGTTTCAGTTCTCAAATGGTTTTAAAAATTTCCATAGGACAGTGGTACTTCCACACCCAGTTTGAAATGCAGAAAACATCTCCCTGTAGCAGAGAAGCAATATTAGATGGCTTTGCTAGCTGAGGGATTCTGGGAACTGTAGTTACTTTTCTGAGCTCTGATAAGTGATATACTTCATCTTATACAGTATGATGATCAATGCACCTTTTTATGCAGATATGGAATTCCTCCCCCTCCTCCTCCCCCACCTCCAGAATTAATGGGCTTCAGAGGCAGGCCGCCTCTTCCCCAAGCCAGAGGAATGCTGCCATGGCCGCGAGGCCGATTTCCACCTCCAGGAGGGTAAGGAGATTCATTCACTTTCCTTTTTAAAATGAATTTTACTTCACACTTACATATTATTATAGAATTCTTTAACACTTAAGAAAGATTAAGTATTAAAATAAATGACAGCAATGTAGGCTTTAAAATGGAAAACAAAAACTAGATTTTATTACTAGTGTAAGGTTGTATAATCGGGGAAGCCTTTTGAATATGCATGGTAGACACATCCTAGGATTAGTAGTATGGTATTTTATAAGTGTATCATTTGAAAACTAATTTTGTTCAGAAGGAAGGAGAAAAACAATTCTGATCTTATCCTTTTATACAGCTTTCCCAATGGACCCCGTGCACCAGCCCCTCCGCCACCTGGGCGGGGCCAGAAGTGGCCTGGGCCACCAGGTGGCAGATTCTATTAAAGAGGCTTATTCTTTAATTCAGGAACAGGGATGCTTGCTTCTTACCTTAAGACCATTTGCAATGGCTGGACTAAGAACTGCCTGTAAAGCATTAAAGATGGCAAAGGAAACTAATAGAACTCTGACATCCATATTTTTCCAGCAGCCCTTATGCACCAAGTTGTTAAAAGCCATATATTTTTAAACATACCTTAAAGACCTGTGACTCCTTCGACACTTTCAAGCATATCCTTTTCAAAGTCTGGAGTAAGGGGACATTGATGCCTGCACACTCAAGTTTAAAATAATCTCTTAACAACGGTCAAGCTTTTAATTTAATATTCAGACAATATTTATTTAAATTGTGTGCAGCTTTTAAAAGCTTGAACTCAATTTGTTTTCAGAATATGTGTATTCTTTGAATCTTGTGAACTGTTGTTTCAAATGCAGTTACATTTGGTAACAGTAAAAGAGTAACATGCTCCATATTTAGAGGGATGGCTAACTAACCGCTTTAAGGTTTCAGTATATTAAGCGGCTTATTATAAATAAACAGAAATCTGTTCTGTACGATGACTTAAAATGTAACCAGTACATAAAAGATAATGGCATAAACAAGCACTGAATGTTAATTTAAGATGAGAAAGAAAATTTACAAATGAACAAGTTAATGGGCATTGTTTCAATATTTAATGATTCTTCATTACACAGCTTGACCTTGGTGTTTAAATTTTTAGTTATATACATTAATGTAATAAGTACAAAATATGTAGCTGAACATTTGACCAATTGTATAATTACAGCTGGTGATGTTATTTACAAAATAAAATGACGGGGTATGTAAAATTTGCAGTGTACATACGGTTTTAAATTATAGATTGTTGTACATTACATAGTGACTTTAGATTTCATTTTCTTCTTGTGCACTGGAAAAATGTACAGTGAAAATATTACATTGCTTGTGGAAATGACATCAAATGTAAAATTTTGAGAGCGCTGTTTAATGTCAAGGATGATCACAGTCTGTAAGTTAATTTAATTTTAATACCTTTTGTTTTATTTTGTGCTGAGGGCTGAATTAAAACCTTTTTTACCAGTCTGGTGCAGTTGGGACTTTTTAACAAGAGTAGTCCCTATACTGGGTCCAAAGTCTGCAAGCAAAATAAAATAAAATGAAGACAAACAATAAATTGAGGTAAAGCATGTATAGATATATATGTTCAACTCCTGCATCTGGCTTCCAGTTAATTGAAAGCTGACCAAAATGTATTCAGTTCAGCCTTGGTAAAAAACAAAAACAAAAACCAGACTTTTTTCCTTGTATTTGTTTGGAACCTTGGCATCTTCAGTTTATACAGAAAATGAATATTTAACATTCATACATTATTTTTGAGAAGTGAGCATTTTCTACTGTGTTTAAAACGATAGTGGAATGGATTATTCCACACTAATCCTCTATAGTTAAATTCTTTTTTCCAAATCAGTGGTTTGCTTTTCTGCTAGCTTAAATTGTAGCATTTACTGCTTTTTATACAAATATCTAAACTGGTTAATACTTCATTCATCTAATGGTACCCAATGGTAAAAGAATGATGCTATTGTTATCTTCTGAAGGGTAACATAGTCACCCTTTGAGGCCAGTGGGAGATGACATGCAGACCTTTGGGAGAGCTTTCATCAAGGCCTTATTTGAGGTGAGAGAGTATTTACAAAATTTTTTCCACTCCCTTTCTTTTTTCCTTAAGCAAAGTACATATATTCATTTGACTTTTATTCATGTTCAGACTTCTTGCACACACACACATATACACATTAAACGTATTTACCTTTGCCTAGGGTGAGAAAAGCATTCATCTGATTACATTAAGTAGGTTCAGTTCTAGAAGTTGGGCTACCAAGCACAGTGGTTTTAGGTTAAAAAATACACGCGTCTATAAATTCATAAGACTGGGCTTTACACAGATCTCTGTCAAAAGGTTGGCCAAAAATATCACTTCATGGAATGTGTAAATTGGACTTGGTCTGCTGGTGAAATGCATGCCAAGTGACAACACAAAACTCTGCAAAGAGTCATTTTCATATTGCATGCATTGGGGTCAACATCTCGTTATTTATATAGCTCATAACAGTCTGGTTTGAATCCAGCAGTGCCCTTTGTAGGAAGGAAAGCATTACCCCTTGTACAAGACGGACCTGCCAAATTCTACGGATTTCTCCATTCTGCTTTAGTCATCTATGTATATATATCATGCTTTTTCCACATAGTTCACAAGAGATTAAACTATAACAATGACTCTTCAGAAACACTGAAACAATTCTAAAGAGGCACTGCATCGGTAGATAAGTGAATAATAATACTGTATAGCAAAAAAATAATCTTGTTGACGAAATACAAATAAACTGACGTTTGCCAGCAACTTAAACTAAACAAATGACAGACATAAAAATCAAGATATATTGACAAGATATATTAGACAAGACCTAATAACCCTCAAGAATGTTAGTGCCTGGTTTGTCTGTTGGTTTCCCATGCCCCAGTACCATGTCATTCAAGAATGGTTGTTATGGGGTGCACAGTTATTGTTGTGGAAGAGATGCCTTTATACTGAGTCACAATATTAATACTTCTAGCCCAGTATTAATTATTGGTGGCAGTTTTCTAAGGTCTGTGGGAGAAGGTTCTTCCCTAAGCCTGTTTCCTGAGATACCTTTGAAATTGTCTTTCAGCATGCACATGTATTTGAACTATGGCCATTCCCCAATTAAGGACACCATGATTTCCCCCCTTAGACTTACCTTATCTTGCTGTTCCCATTAATTTTGAAAGTGCAACAAGGAAAATGGTAGTGTCTCATAGTCATATACTACCTTGTACAACATTGTTGGGTCAGAATACTGCTAGCCCATTGCAACAATAACAGGCCTGCTGTGCATCTGATAACAGGAGGGTAATACTGAATTTCGCCTGCTGTTGAGAAAACCAACCCAAATTTAAGAGGATACAAACATAAGCTTTGTTCATAATAAATTTACACACAGTTTGTTTTAATATTATTAAGCTTGGAGAAGTTACTGTAAGACATTTAAATAAAGCAGCAAACTGACCAACATGTTTCTACTTGTTTTTTAATTGTTATGGTGAACAGTCAATTTGAAAGCTGTGTACAACATATAAATGACTGCATGCAATCTGTATTAATTAGCCTTTCTAGAGTTAAGGCTGCAGCAATTACTAAATTATGTGCAAGCAAATTGCTTTGAAGGATGGTTTCATATGTATAGTTAACGTAGCACATCCTATATTCAGTTCCCTTTATTCACCACCACCACTCTTTTCAGAGCTGTGAGCATGGAATTGCTTTTCAGGTGGGTTTTTTTTTTTGGCATTTTATTGGAAACATTCATTACAGTTTGACAGGCACTTTAATGAAATCCTGATCAGCCAGTAGAACAGTGCCTGCTGCTATTTGGCTGCAGTTGCATTTCTGAGATACTTTGTTTCATAAGGTGCAGATATACAGTACCAGCTTTTCAGTAAGATAAATTCAAGGTTCTCTCCTTTTTTGAAGTTATTTTATATACTCTAAATCGTAAGCTGAGAACTTTAAAATGAGTACACCACAACTAGTGCTCCTAATGTCTGAATAAATTTGGTACAGTAATTTTGTCGTACAGTGATGCCTCGCTTGATTACCTCATTGTACGACGAATCTGCTGTAGTACAGTGATGCCTTGCTTGACGATTACCTCATTGTACGACGAATCTGCTGTACGATTAGTTTTTTGCAATCGCTATTGCAATCGCAAAACGATGTTTCAGTGGGGGTTTTTTCGTTTGACGACGATCGGTTCCCTGCTTTGAGAACCGATTTTTCGCTTTACGATGATCAAAAACAGCTGATCGTCGGGTTTTCAAAATGGCTCCCCGCTGTGTTCAGGACAGATTGCTTGCATTACAGGCACCGGAAAACAGCCGCCCTATGGAGGATCTTCGCTGAACGGTGAGGTATTTCGCCCATTGGAACGCATTAACCGGTTTTAAATGCATTTCAATGGGCTTTTTACTTTCGCTTGACGACATTTCGTTCTACAGCGATTTTGCTGGAACGGATTTTCGTCATCAAGCAGGGCACCACTGGCAAGGACTGCAGTGTCAAAGTCTGGTCTTAGCATTGCTAGCATATTGATCGCTGCAGAGTGAAGATGCCATTGTTGCCTTGGGGAGTTTTATGCAACTAACTCTGCTCTCTTAACTGAAGTCCTAGTGGGAACCATTCCTTAGCAGGTTATGGTCATAAGCTGAAAATACAGTGCTGCCTAGGTAGTACTGGCACCTAGGTAGTAGTAGGCTGAACCATTGTTCAGTTAACACCATAATACTCCCATCATAGACAAAACAAAAATTAGTAATAATTGCAAAAACAGCTGATATTGTTTAGAATAGTGCATCAGAGAGACAGAAAACTTGCAAAACAATAAGTTGATTTGTGTAACAAAATATATTCCTTGATTGTCATCAATTACTATACAGTACAGACAAGTCTAGGTGCCACCATGGAGAGTACATGTAGACAGTCATACTTGTTTTCATTATATCTCAGGATTTTGAAGGCATGATTCTTCATACAAAATGTATGTTTCAGATACATTGTTTCTGCATAAATAGGTAGACAGCTGGCTGGGCAAATACAATGCTTGTTCAGCAGGGACTTTACATCAGCACTAAATATTCCATTGGCCAAACTAAGGATGGCAGCAGTTTTGCTCTAAGGAAGCAACCCACACAAGGATCAAGCTGTAGTGGTACTGATACTTGCGGAAAGTCCTTTGGGGGCTGACCTATTTCATGCTGTGCCAACAGTTACATTGCTTTCAAACTTAGGCCTATGTTTATGTGTCCCCAAGGAATTGCATGTAAGTGTTGTAACTTGATTATGAAAATCTAAATGCTTTAAATATAGATCTAGCTGTCTAGCTACTCTTTATAATTTTGGGGACAGAAATCTTCCAGATTTTAAATTGAATATTAGCTCCTTCTATAAAGCTAAGATAGTCTTGAGACTAATAGGCAGAAGCATTTCCAGATGATTTTTGAAAGTGCTCACTCTTAAATTCAAGCATTTCAATTATAATTAGGGGCTTTTTTTTGCAAGGACTGCAGTGTCAGGCAGAGGTTATTTATTTAGTCAGATCGGTCCTTTTGTGTTTACACAGGAGTTTTATTTATAGAGATTGACTGTAAAGGTATGGCGTGGTCAGTGTACAGTTACAAGCAGGAAAGTGCATTGTTCTATCACATACAATGGTCCGTTAATTGTATAATTTAAAATAGTAGCTATTTAGATTCTTCCAAAAGCCTACAATCAATGTTTGTTTTCGGCACTTAGAAGACAAACATTACTGTGGCTGCTCGGTTCAGCATATAGTACCTTGATAGGTCTTCCATCTTTACTGTGCTGGCACAGCTCTTAGTAATTTAGTAGAGCTATTTCCTAGTGGGCGTCTTCTTTAGTCAATAAGCAGATTTAAGGTGAGTTTCTAGATGTAAAAATTACATGAACATTAAGATGAAGTAATTAACTCTTCAAAGTAATCCAGTAATGAATTTATGGAGAGAAAATAAATTTAAGGAATACCTTTTCTGTTGCAGTATCATTTCAGGATCAGCTTGTTTTAATGAAAAGCTTTGTATCATTAAATAAAATGCTAATAAAGTATTCATCAATTGTGACTTTGTGTGTTGGTGGTATTCTCAGTGGCATTAACATGTATGGGATATATAGAAATCATTCTTCTGTGGTGCTTATTTTATGGAAGGGGGAAATGTCTCGGCTAAATAGGCTATTGTTTTCCTGGATTCATTTATCCTACCAGTCATAGATGTCACTGCACAAGGAACTGTTAACACTTCTACATATGATTCCAGGTCTGTCAACAAGGCATATGACAGAACTGTAACACTGTGCCCTAACTCAGTCTTCTTAACCAGCTCATTGTGAATTTTACACTGCACTTTAAGGGAGCATCTATAAAAACTATGCACGCTCAGTATGGATTCCTGCACTAAGCAGGGGGTTGGATTCAATCGTTTTATAGGCCCCATGTAATTCAAGTATTTTGATATGATTTTATGATATGTAGGTGTGTTCTGCCAGTGTGAGATATTTGCAGAAACTTTGCAAGGTCACCTGGTATATAGCCATCAGTATAAGTGAGTGACCATGGTGTAGTAGAATAGTCAATCCCTCGAAAAGTGAAACTCACCTGTTAAAAGGCAGTTTCCTTCAATGTGTTTTCTTCTTGGTAAAGCACATGAGTAGACCTCAATATGAAAAAATATTTAGGCATTTATATCTTTACTTCGCTGCAGGCTGATGTATACTCTCTATATCAAACACTTTTTCATTGTGTTTTTACCACAGTAAAAATACTTTTTCCTTGCAGTTTTTCTGTAACCTAGTTACTATATACCTAGTTGCTAAGAGACAGTTCCCCTTTTGAAGATAATGTCCTAGGCTGGAAGCAAAGATGCAGCCCCACTGTTGTCAAACACAGTGTTCAGGATTCCTTCATTTCTGATACATCAGTAAATGACATAACGTATACATCTGTAGTTAAATATCTTTCAAGTGAGTCTGACCATCTCTGCTCATTAAGCTTAACTTTAGGCATGCAACCTAAATTCCTGTTCCAGAAAAGCAGGCAGCTAGTGAGCTCTGATGAACAAAATGCTGGATTTGGATCTTTGAGATCAAGGCCTTTACAGAGCAATCTTGTATTCCACTTCTAGGGAGTAAGTCCCACTGAAATCTTCTGTTACAAATGTAGAATTGCACCATTAGAAACTGAAGCTGATTCACTTCTCTGCCTATAAAATGGGAATAAGTAGCAGACTTACTGTACAGACTTGCTGTAAAGCGAGGATGGAGCATGGAATAAAACAGATTAATGTGCTGAATGATGAATAGTGTTCATGAGAGAAACAGATTGGGTTGTGCCCTGATGAAAAATAATTACGTAGGCTTTTGATCTTTATACATCCTGTGGTTATTAGTAAGCACTGTGTGGGAGATTAGCATCTCTTCAGGACTGTCCTAATTAAGACAGGCACCTTGGCACAGCTTGGTCTTGCACTTCCTCTTCAGTGAAAAAAAATCTGAACATCTTGGGGCAGGGGGAAATCAGCTTAAGATTACTGTGCCAGCAGACTGGCCATTTCACAGTGCCAAGTTCTCAGCCCCAATTCTTTAACAGTTGCTGACATTCTTGATGCTTGCATTCCTTTTGAGAAATTTGATCCCGAGGAAAAAATACAGAGAAGTGATAAATTCTACAGAAATCTCTCCTATGTGACAAGAGAAGCTCTTAGTTTTAAGCAGCATGGCATTTTGTATCTCAGGATGACTACTTCACTTATATTGCTATAATCAGAAAGCTTTGGTTCATTCTCCAAAGCCAAATAAATGGGCTAGAATGTGAGTACCTAACTATATGTTACACATTCAGCACTTTAGCATTTATCTGTGTACAAAGGCAGGTAAAAGCCCCAAACACTGATTTCTGTGTGTGAATTAAGATTGTTCATGCCCATTTCCCCCAGAGCATATCACCAGCTATCCTCTGGGAAAGATCCAGATGATCTTTTTTATGCTTACTGACATGCATTTTACACATGCAGCACCAACAAAAGAAGTGGGTGCTAGAGTAAACCAAGCTTGGCCTCTCATTGGAGTCTAAAATGATTAAACTGAGGCTGTTGTACTTTGGTCATATTGAGATAAGACAAGAATGTTAAGAGTTGAAGACAGTAGGAAAAGTGAATAATCTAGACTAATATCCTGTTGGCAAAATTCACAATCATAACAAGCAATTGTGCAAGCAGTTCCAGTGTTAGACATTGGATCTAGATAAGTTTCTGCACATAGTATTGTACAATGGATTTCAATGGCTTGAAAATCCATTGTACAATACCATGTACAATGCAATTACACAATTGCATTGCTCAAAGTAGGAAAAGTGAATAATCTAGACTAATATCCTGTTGGCAAAATTCACAATCATAACAAGCAATTGTGCAAGCAGTTCCAGTGTTAGACATTGGATCTAGATAAGTTTCTGCACATAGTATTGTACAATGGATTTCAATGGCTTGAAAATCCATTGTACAATACCATGTACAATGCAATTACACAATTGCATTGCTCAACACTATATTCGCAATTGTGCAAGCAGTTCCAGTGTTAGAAATTGGATCTAGATAAGTTTCTGCACATGGTATTGTACAATGGATTTCAATGCAATTACACAATTGCATTGCTCAACACTACATTCTTTCTTTCCTAATTTGACCTCCTGTTATGCATGTATATGGTTGGACTGCATGACTGCAAAATACTAGCCCTAACATGAGATAGACAAGCTCAGTAAGGGAAGCCACAGCCCTGAATAAGGCTGTTAATGCTCTCTTGGAAGTTATTAATGCATAGAACTACTGTAAATCAGAAATAACTTGATGGCCTATAACGTGCAAGACTTTATGTAGATTTTTAATTTGAAAGGTGTGATAAAGACCTATTTTAAAAATGCAATGGAAAATGTGTTAATTTTGCAGATTTTGAAGGAAAATTGGTCGTTGCTTAAATGTGCTAATGAACGGTGTCACCAATACTAAAATTGCTTTCACCTTTCTGCACTCAAATTAGCTAATCTCTTTCTAGAATTACATATGGAACTCACTGAAGTAAAGGGCAGCTATGTGGTCAAAACAAAATCCAAATGCAAAAACAGGCGATACCTTTATAGACCACTAAAAAATCATCACACAATAAACAGAGCTCTTGTGGATTAAACACCACTTTATCAGGACTCCACCAGTGTGATAACTCAGAGAGACTTTTAAAGTTACATATGGGATTTCTACTAGAAAGGAAATATTTTGTTAACACTTTTTCTCTGGAACTCATTGATTTCACTGGCTGAAATCCTGAAGCTTAGCACAGTACATTGCAACCAGATAGGGCCTGCTGAATAATTAGGGATTTGGCGAGTCAACTCCATCAGTTCTTTTGATTCAAACGTGCATTGCAACTTACTACACAAAGCAACAGGATTTTAGTCAATGAGTGAAACAGATATAAATTGCCATAAAGCTATTGAAAGAAATATTTTTAAATACTAGAAAGGGCATGAACTTCAGTGATCACAAGCAACAACACTGGCAGAATTATTTATAAAATATTTTTTTCAGTACACTAGTTTAAACTGTCTGATCAAACTGATACCACAATGGTGTATGATATTAATTTTGTCACAAATCAGTTTCACAATTAGTGTACTTCTCACACCTGAGGACAATGTTACATTTCATTTGTACTTCACATTAAAGCATCAGAAAACTCTACAAGTCAGGCACTTGTGACTTAGTTGCTGTTTCTTCAACTTGAGGCAGAGTGTCCCAAATGGGTTTCTGAATATGCTCGGGAAGTTGTTCTAACCTTGTCTAAAAACAAAGAAAAATGGTAATAGCATTTTATATTGGGAAATTCAGAGGCTCTTCAGCAATTCTACTTAATCTGTATTTATATAAATCATATTCCTATAGTCCAGCACATGTATGAGAATATAAGCCACCAAATGGAGCAAATGGTGATGTATGTTATTAATAACTGAGAAAACAGGTATAACTTTGTACTACAGTACAAAGCTAGAAAATAAAAATACCTTTTTGACTTCCATGGCAACCCCTTCAGGTAGGTTTCGTTGAATGTATTCCAAGTAGACATTGGCAGTGCTGCCAGTTAGGTGCTTTAACTAAAACAAAAACAGTGTTTTAATATCCTGATTAACAAATAGAGATAGGTGCTAACGAAGGATGATATATCTCATGTAGAAGTAGTAATTGCCTTACCCTTCTTTTCATTACTATATACAGCTGGGCTAGAGAAGCTGTGGTCTCTAGGTGTCAGAGAGCAATTCCTATCCTCTGGCACCATGACTTGGGGAGGAACAGTGGTTGTTCCATATCTAGAGGACCAGATGCTCCCTGGCCCTGATGTAAGTAGTGTTTATTTTTTTGAACATACAGCTCTTCACTCACCTCCACATATCGATAGTGCGTCCTTATTTCATATTGAACTCTGTGCTTCTTATAAATGTGCACTGATTTCAGAAGTGTGAATCGCTCCATCTTTTTTGGAGGTTCTTCTCTAAAAGACAGTGGTTTTCATGAAATCATTTGTCATCTTAGTATCCCATTCTTTCTGAAATTCCTTGCATTTGTGTTCTGCCTTTCCACTAACAAAACAGCACTCAAGAAGACTGAGAAGTATTCAGTCAAATGAAAGTCTTTGGTGGGTTTTATCAGTAATGAAGCTGTCCTGCATGAAGGTGTGAGGAGATGGATGAGACTGAAATCTGCCTCCACCTGGAACCACTTGTCAAACTACACACCTGAATCCCAAGAGATCTACATAATTTAAAATTTGAAAACAAATCCTCTTGGAAGTAGGCAAGGGAAAAATCTCTACATAATCAGCAGCAAAAATAGTGCTAATACCAGAAACTTGTTAAAACTATCTACTGCAATCCTTTGCACTCTTATTGAGAAATTTATGAAGCTGAGTAAAATATGCTTTTAAGTGATTATGAATAAACCAGTAACTAAGATGGACCTCTATCTTGGGAACACTAAACCACAATTCAGTACAGAGTTACACATTTGCACTTTGAGCCAATAAATTTCCATGTTAGAAGCTTACAAAATTTATAAACCATGAACAAATCTTCCAGAAGACTTTGTTTCAGTCTTCTGTTTTACAGGGAGCCCACAATGGGGAAAATCTAGACATAAATTCTCTTTCATTTACCATAGAGAGGTAGAATTTTTCTAGAGTGCTTCATGTATTACCAGTTTAGTTTTGGAATGTTATGCTGGCTGGATAGTCAGATAGATAGAGGTTGGGAGTTTGATTCCCTACTGTGCTTAATGCGAGTAGAGCCAGATTATGTGGCCTTGGGCAAGCTGCAGAGTCCCAGGACTCCCTTAGAAGAAGGGAAAGGTAAATACTTCTGAATATTCTTTACTGGGAAAATCCTGACAAGGGCTGCAATAAGTCAGAATTCACTTAAGAGCACATCATCATCATTTGAAATATTAGAATTAGGAGCGTAAAACAAAGAGGTACTCCCACTAAGCTTATTTAGTAAGTAATCTTCAAACAAATCAGTTAGGTTGTATATTAAGTTACTGAAAATGTCAACAGCACTTACACTTTTTCAACAGAAAGGCCAAGTTCTTTAGCAGCAAGCACCATGAAATATTCATAACTATCTAGCACAGGTTTGTCATGACCTTTAACCAAAACAGCCAGTCTCTTGTACAGTGTGTCTGGTTCATCTGAAATAGATACCTAGATGTGAACGTAATGAAAAATAAAGAACTCAGCATTTGGATTCTAAAAACAAAACTTCCATAACATGTCATTCATTTAGATCTAAGTCTAAATCGTTTAAAAAGGTAATTATGAACATTATTGTATCCCAGCATTGTCTAAATGCACCCCAACATACATATCCGGTTAGAGTACTGTTATTTTCATATTAACTGGATATATACAAAACATTCAGAATTTCTCAGACATACCAAATCCTTGTTCTTGTTCTGCTGAATATCAGTGTGGGCTCCTGAAAGCTGAAACCACATTAACTGATTGTTTCTGTAAAAATAAAAATGGGAGAGATATTTTAATAATACATAAAATTAAGGCTAAAATCCTGTATGTGGATGGGAGTTAGCAAACTTACTGAAGGAGGTTATGTTGCTTTAGTGGAACTCTTCTTGTTACAAGTAAATTTTCTCGCCCCTAGGAAAAAAATAAGAATTAAGAAGTTGGTATGCTATCACTGTAATGCTGATACATAATTGGTCAGAAACCATGAGTTTCAAGTGAGAAAATCATGCCCATAGGCTCATAACTAATAAACAGAATGTTACAACAGGACAGCTGGAAAGTTGTAGGAAATTTTACAAACAGCACACATTTGCTAACTGCACCTTCACTTGATTCTGCAGTCTCTGTGTATTCTGTTCACATTCATTTACACTCACTTGGATCTAATCATCATCATCATCATAACCTTATAACTGCAGAGCTGGAAGGGACCCTATGGATCATCAAGTCCAGCCCCTGAAAAAGAGGCCCAGTGGGGAATCAAACTCTCAACCTAAACCACTGAGCTATCCAGCAGTTCTACAGAGCCCATAGTCCCACAGCAATTTAAGCCATTTTATGGTCTTCAGGTTCAAATGAGCTACTACTGATCCAAGCAAACCAAACAAATAACCTCATCATGAGCACAAGATTTACTTGCAGCAGTGGAAGCTGTGAAGCAGGGGGTATGTAGTTATTTGGTTCTGTATATCCTTGGTGGTAGGATCAGGGAGAAACCCATTTTAAAGAGATTCTAAGGTTGTGATGCATACACCAATCCTTAAGAAGCTACCAGTAGTGATATGATTTAATTCTAGCAGTACTCCTATTCTTTAAATAATGGTAAAAAGGGGCCATTATTAGTAAACTGGCTAATCCAATCATAAACCTACGAATGCCTGGGCTAGTTATTAGCGGTACACTCCATCCTTAGACCCGCCTGAGTAGAGTTCTCTCTTGTTTGCCCCCACTTCACAACCCTGTGTTGAATATAATGAGAAACGATGTTTTGGCATAAGGTCACCTTGGGAACTTCATGGTCGGCATGGAATACACATGATGTTTAGGACCGCTTTATCATCCTTAACCATTTTAAACAGCAAATGGGTTAACGCTCCTTATTACTTGTTTGGGGGGAGCACGTAAGCCCACAGGAAAAATTATTTTAAAATATTAATGGCTCAGCTCTTTGATGTATTTTTCAACAGAAACAATGCCACGACAACAAGAAAGGCAAAATAAAGAGAAATAACTCGGGCTGTTTTCTGTATCGTCTTCGAGAATCGGTTCTGAACAGTAGCCCCAAGAACTAAAACCACCATGTCGTAAGCAGCCGTGGTATTTTAAACAGTTAAATTACCGTTAGGCTGTCGCTTATTCTCGACCAACCGATCCTAATTCTAATAACCCTACAATTACCTGCCATAACCGGCGCAAAAACCGCATTCCCCTCTGCATCGCCATCTTGAAACGCCTACCACCATTACTTCCGGTCGCCATGACATGATAGAATTTAATTTCCGCTAGGGCCCGAGCGGCGCCGCTTGCCTCTGACCGCTCTACAGTATCAATCTCTATGGTTTAACCGCGCGCAAATCTAAGGAGGTGAAACAGTTCTCTTGCTTTTGGGACAGTATTTCGATGTATTTTTGCCAACATGATTATAATCAGAGATTTAAAGTGGTGGAACCTCGTACAAGACAGTACTGTTAGAAGCTGAAGGGACCGAGAAGGGAATCTGCAGTAGAAAGAAAGGCAGGCCTTTCAGACTCGGCCCTTCCTCTGTGGGAGAAAATGTTGTTTCACAAGGATTTATGTTTCGGTAACTCGATGGCAACTTCCTGCTTCAGGAAGCTAAAAATCCATTTTTACATCAGCCTTGCAGAAGAATAGGCGCGGCTGAAAGCTAATGAGCATTTGGGACGGTTAAAAGAAAGTAACTTCCCCAAAGCAAAGTGCGCTGCTTATATACTGCCCCTTAGCGTTTAAAAAGCGTTCGAGTCTAGGTAATTTACAGTTTGTTTAATTATGCAGGCTACACATTGCCCCAGCAAACTGGTTTACCGCCCTCGGAAAGAAAGATGGAAGACTGAGTGAACCTCGACTTGGCTACCTGAGCCCTTTGGGATCAAACTCAGGTCGTGAGCAGTCTTGTCAGCCATTATCCCATCAAAACCATCAAATTATCCTCATGAGATTACAGTAGGATAGGGCTGACACTGTGAGAGAATGACTCACAACATCCTTGTGAAACAGCTGTGTGTTTGATAAGAGCACTGTGGTAGGGTGGCCAGATGACCTCTCTTAGGGAGGATGATGCTCCATTTGAAGAGCTGACAGAGGACTGGCCTTTTGGAGGTGCCCTCTGTTTGCAGGGCTTTCCACTTGAAATCTGATTTAAGAGACCAATAAAACCTCAGAAATAGACTACATTTTGAGCCCCGCAGACTCTTTGTCAGGCTGGGCTTTGCAGAGCTGACAGGTCAGTGCAGATAAGATTACAAAATATTTGACATTAATTAAGTTTAGGCTATTTATTTTATTTTATTTTTATAGGGCCCACCTGGCTGCCAAAGGCTACTATGGATGGTTTACAAAAACAGTAATAAAACAAACAAAAAAACCCAGTAACGACCAAACAAAATGTAATAGCTACTAAAACAAGTTATACTAAGAAATAACATAATAGATATTATAAATACAGTACTGAATTTACAAAGATATTTGAATGTATTACTGTATTTATATTTATTTAAACATGCACACTCTGCTCTATATCAGGCCAATTTTTGACATTTTTTGTAACATCGATGTTGTACATTAAAGAGATAGTGGTCCACATTGGATGCTGATTATAGTAGTATTGGGGATATAGTTTTGGACCAGGACCACAAACCTTCAGCAGTCTGCCCACCAGCTTGCAAAATTCACCTTTCCACAGTGAATCCACTTTTCTCTTGCTGCATCTTATTTTTATTAGGACACTTGTCTCTTTTCACTGTGAGGTGTACTATGTTTTAGACACTGAAAGCTCCTTTAGATATATGGAAAAATGTGTGTTTTGGTGTGACAGTAAGAGTCCAGGCCCAAATATTTCTGTTCTCTAGGCACCAAGTGTAGAAATGAAAGAGTAACATAAATATTCATTTATCTCACTTCTTTTGAAACATCCAGTCACCTAACTAGGAAAAAAGCAGTAACAAACAAAAAGGTAGCAATAATTAAAAAGAATTCTAAAAAATCAAATTAATAACCTCCAATAATAACCAGAATAAAAGCATTCCAAAAGCCAGCTATGAAACAGCAATCACAGCAAGACTGGGTTGAATACAGAACACAAGAACTATGTTCAGATGGTTTAATCCTGAAGGCATGAATTTCAGGCAACAACATGCACCTTCTTTGCATCATTCCTCATGTTGGGCAAATAACAAACCAGGGAGCTGCAGTTAACAATAAAAGCACAGCATCTACACAGTTGGCTTCCAAACCATAGCTTGATGCCAGTTGTATTAGGCTCTTGAATCTTGGTTTGTTTGGAAGTCACGAAACATAGATTCCTGTTTAAGTAAAATGGCAAATTGTTCTTAACTTCAATTTGTTCAGTATCTCCCACAAACCAACTACAGTACAATAAAAGATTGCATCTGGGTACATGCAACTAGGATATGATTGTGTGAACTGTGCTGACATAGCACACTTTACAAAAACATGGCTGCTTACAGCAGAACTATTTGGGAATGGCTGCATATTCTTAGCAGTTGCCAGATGGCTTTGTAACCACATTTTCTAAGGTATTTACTATCATTCAAGAATCAAAGTGAACCTCTGTTTATAGAGCATGAAAGCAACATGTAACCATGCAAGAGGATGTGCAGTGGATTGATTCAGTCACATGCTTTTATTCATTCCTAAACATACTGTATTCAGCTTCTTATAAATTAATAGAAACTGACCTCCTGAATAGAATGGTTATTAGTTTAGATACTCTTAGCTTTTTAAAAAATGGCTGTACACATTTTAAACAGATTAATTTATTTAAAAGAAAATTTTCATTTTATGAACAAAACAAATTAACAAAGCATATCTTATCAAAAGTATAAAATACTGTCCTTTTTGGCAAAACTGTCAATAGATTCCCTTTGATTTCGCAAATATAATTATCAATACAAGTTGAAATAGTCTATAAAAAGTGCTCGGTTAATGTACCAAATGGGATGCATGCCCCAAAATTTCCCCGCTCTCGCAAGAAGGGAAGGAAAAAAAATCACCACCATGACATATATTAGAAATCAAAGCATTTTAGTGCAAACCTGAATAAATTACATCCTGAAGGTAAAGCACATGCAATTCAGGTGCAATTAAGCCAAAACAGGCACAGTTTTATTTCAAAAGAAATAAACTGACATTAACCCGCCATCTTTTTTTCACACTACACTACAACACTTAAATTATTTACAACTTTTCTATAACAAGGCAAAAACAGTAAAGATCTCTGAAAATAACATTTTCCCATTAAAATATATTCTCTTTTGTTATGTACAATTTTTAATCTAAGTCATTCAGTATACCACAATAAACATGAACCATGTCAAAATGGAGAAAATGTCACAAGTTTTCCTGGCAAATGTATCAGATACTGTATTTTAACGATATTTATCATTGCAAGATTTGAGAAATACAAGATTTACCTGCAAAAGTTATATCAATGTTATTCCAGGGGTTGTTCTGACATTCTCTTTGGTGTTTCTCCTTTAAAGCTAAAAGCTTATCGTGACATGATTTTCCAGCATGTAAAATGTGTATGTAGGGATGGTTCATTTATTACAATAAGATCTTGTAATTAACGTGCTATTCTGCTATATTGTCAGCTAATATCTGAATATAGATGTGGTGACTGATGCATTGTACCCTTACCCTGTCAAAAGTGTTATTTCATCAGCAATCATACAATGATGATTCTTCTATCAATGTAAATGATTATCAGCTCTGCATTTATAAATTAACCAGTAGACTCTGCTTTTTCGCTTTAGACAATTATCTTAGGGCAGGCAAGTGGACACCAAGTGTTATTGGGCTGCAATCCCAGCCAGTACGTTTCTCCTTTGAACAATGCTGGGGTTAGGAGAGCTGGATCCCCATGTGGTTCAAAATCCATGTATAACCTTTATGCTCCCCCCAAACATAACTAACAGTTCATTCACACACACACACACACATACAGAACAGTTCTCTTTATTAGGGTTCTCTTCCATAATATTGACAATCCTTTCCATACAGTACTGTGTCTAATGAGATTTAAAGGTTCTTATGGCCACTTGATCTAGAGACTGAATTAGAGATGTTGCATTTGGGGGGCATGTAGGTCACTTTGATGCCTTCTGTTTTGAACTTACAGCATTCTGGGTGGTCAGGGGCACAGTATTTATTTA